ACTTACAGTGTCTGTACTTTGTTTTCGATGAATAGTTCTGTCGCGAGTTAAAAAAGTATTCAGTCGTTCAATCGGATGGCGTCGGGGACGCCACTCCAGATAATACAATGCACGAGCAAGCTGCAGTTTCAATCGACAGCGTTCACCACGCGCGAGACGGAAAGTTCTCTTTTGCACTCAGACGGATGATAAAGGTTTCAACTTGGCCGAACTTCGTGGATTGACTAGTACGACGCTAGGGGGTCGATGAATTGATGTTATCGGAGACAAATCCTAGTTTTCGTGTAGTAATAAGAGAAACTGTGTAGTCGATGGATTGATATTTTGTGGATATAGGACTTTCCTATATCCGTTCGACGGTCGACTATTTGGCAAGTCTTTGGTATACAGATACACGCATTTTCCTATTTCTGTACCTTTGTTTGATCTGTGACCTGGCTCAGCATAGCAGTAGCGTTGCCCAGCATAGGAAGGGTAGTCTATATTAAAACCGGAAGTCAACAACGAAGGGATTAAAAATATGGTAATTAATTATTTGGAAAACTTTCGATCAGTAATTGGATATACGAATTGGCTACGAGCAGCGGCGAGGAGAGGGGGGTAGTCGTATAGCCTAAGGGTAATTAGAAGCTTTGTTATGGTCTAGGTAACGGCTTCTCGGAAGCTTGATTGGACGCCATCTTTATTTATCGCAAGCCCATACAGTTGAGTAATACGTGAGTCGAAGAAAATGTACGACCGAAAGAAAATGAGAAAATTCTCAAAGTCACTGACTGTAAGTTATTTATAAATTTCAAAGGTACGCCAAGGACCTTTCATGCTACGTCGAGTTCCACGTGGTCCCTTTGACAAATTTGAAATTCTTACCCAGTACTCGTTTTAGGCCAATTTAATGGTCTCTTGTAAAATTTAAACGACGAGAAGACGAGCATTTTCTTTCGCGCGACACGACCTAACCTATAAAACGACGCACCGATCAGAGCGGGACGCTGCAAGTGCCAGCTGACGGGTTAACGAAGAGCAGTAAATTTAGCACTAAAGGATTAAATTAGTCGAAAACGAGAGCTCGATCGTGTTGTCATGTTTTCTGTTTTCAATTTTTCCTAGCGGTTTGCTGCTAGCTTCAAGGTGGTTCGAAATTAACCAGTTTACGGAATTTCAGCTCGAAGGGTTTCCATGCAGAACACCAAAGGCTTCTCCCTCGTAATTTCCAACTAGAAACTCCCCACCACCAATTTCGTCGAAACTAAACCACATCGAGCGCTTCATTGTTTTCGTAATAACAGCGATGCGCCGTCCGATTGTTATGTCTGGAGAGGACCGGGACTTACGGGCGGCTTAACTTTTTTTCTCTCTTCTCCGTAACACGATGTTTTCCTCGGTCTCGGAACGACAATTCTTCTTTGTAACTTCTCCAACGATAACTCATATTCTCACCAAGTATACCACGTCGCTCGATGCAATGGCTAAGGTACTGAAGCATATGCTGCGATTTTGTAACCGTCTTCTATCTAGGCACGTGCACATAACAATGTCCATTGTGGATTCACGCACGTTCGATGGCGAAACGAGAGAATGTACTAGGCGCCTTTTTACTTGGATCATTCACGTATATAGTAGCTATTTCTATATTACATACGCACACGTATCGCGCATGTAGATTCTGATGCTGAACGCTGTTTGGTACGTACACACATTGCTCGCAGCGGAGAGACTCGTTAATAGTTTGGAGTAGCGCATTAAGCCGCGTATACAAGAGCGAGCGATTATAATTCGCGAATGTTTTGATGTTAACGTACGGACCGGGAACGCTTTACGATACCAGGAGAGTTATCAACAAGCGGTATCATTATGACGTCTGTAAACGGTTGCGCAAGAAACGGTAGCAGCATGGCGGATTGGGAATTTTTCGCGTTATAACAACAACAGAGAACCTTTCGGCCATTGCCAGAACTATTTACGAAAATTTCAAATACTTTTCGTATTTCTTCCCGTGCATTCGTCGCGTTTGCCTCTTGTTCTCGGCCATTAGAGACGCGTGGAATGGCTTTTCGAATTCGCCCGCGTCTCCTGACTTTCGTCGACCTTCAAGGCACACGCCGACGACCGATAAGATTTTCCCCGATTGAAATCTAATACAAGAGGGAAAACTCTTGGTTAAATTATTACTTTTACTGCCGATCCCATGGGTTTTGTTTTTTTTGTCCCTATTTATTACGGCACTTTATTTTTGGCAAATCGTTCTCACCATATCCACACCTTCTCTTTCCCCGCGTCACAGTAACCTTAGGGTGCTTTTCTTCGATGTTCTTGTTCCCTTCCCTTTTTTTATATATAAAAGTAAATGGGGGAATCCCCTTTCCAGTCATGGAAACAGAGTAATAAATATGGAAATTAAATTGCTGCCTGTATATATATAGGCGGTATAGGTATATACTTATACATTTTTCCGTAGATCGGTACCGGAATTTCATATTAAATCTGGATCTCTTTACTTGTCAGGACGATTAACGTAGTTTTCAGGATTCTTTCAAAGTTTCTCACTCTACAGCAGAATCACGTGAGTTTCGATGAAGAAGAGATTCGCTTGCGTCTTATTGTTTCTATGTACCGTGTTATGTATAGCTAGATATACACGCGATATATGAGTGGTACTAGCTTTTATCTGGTACACACACAGTACAGTATAGTACGCAGTAGGCACGTTTTACTTTATTAGACAACCGAGTGTACCTGATATATTCTAATATTACTTTTCATGGAAAAGCCTTTCCCACGCAACTACTCATTATATCGTAACCGCTGAAAACAGTCGGAACAAATATTAGGTCTAATTCTGCACAAGGCTCTTTGGGGCGTCTAAAAATATTTCGTTATAACGTCAACTCTGTACTTCCAATCGACGATCGCAACGCGCAAACAGCATTCGCGCAGGGAAAAACGGTGTCGATCGAAGCACAAACTAATTACGTCTCATCCTTGTAGAATTTTCTTGTGAAATTTTCATAACTTTTTGTCAGTCGATCAGACAAAGTAAACATTTCTTCCCTACCAGCAGACTGCAGATTCGGTGGTTTTATTTAATTCGACATCGTGTTTCAGCCGATACCAGTCTCCCCGAAATTACATCCTCGTGAATTCGTTACGTGGATAATACCCGGATTCCAAAAAAAAAATATAGTTACCGGTCGAGAGGGAAGGCAAATTAAATTCACCATATCGCGTGGGGGAACATATGCTTACAAATCTGTATTATTGTTACTCGAATATCTGATTTCGATTACATCTGTCAATTATAACATATACATATGAAATGTCAAATAACGCACAAGTACAGTACGTGTACCTACAGGTACGTGTACACGTACCTGGCAATGTGTAGCTAACAAAAAATCGTCGGCCTCTTTATTTCAATTTTTTGTTAATACAAATCCAAACCTTACCAGCCCCTGTGTCGTCGATACGCTGTTCACAGGACAAGGAAAAAAAAATCCGTTTTTCGTAAAAAAAAAAGGGGGATCAGGATGCCTCGACTAGCATCGTTATATCGCTGAAAGAGGTAGAGAATGTATGGGTTTTTTTTTTTTTCTCAAAATGAAAATCAAAAAAAAAAAGAAAAATTAAAAACGTCCAAGCGCTAATAGGATTCCTCGTTCCTGCCGTCCTTCGCTCGTAATACTTGATTATACCGAGATAATATCGCGTCGACAGAGGCAACGCATAGCGTCGGAGAAATTGATGTATTCAACCAAAAGGTACGTCGTCGCCCTCGTAATTTTCTTTCGTCTTCTCGTCTTGTTAACGTCGACGAGGATACAAGAGGAGAGGAGTCGAGCTCCCCTCCATCCAGCGTCGTCAGGAGCAATCCCATTCGACGGAATTACATCTGGGCGTCTGGCTATGATTGAATTTCGATGGTGACGCTCGAAATTTCTACGTGGCCATTACGCTCGTCAACGCGGCAATGAAATTCATCGCGCGCGCACGCGCGCGCTGTATTGTTTATTATCATACACACACGTGTATGCACAACAGTGCGACAAAAACAGTCCGGCATACTTTCCGGTATACCGTGCACTGTGCCAATCCATTGTTCGCCAATAAAAGAGAGCTAAACGTCGTTCGACAAGCTGTTCGTGCTACTGGAAGAGCTTTTTTTTTTATTCATGAAGAAAATCGATTTGTCGTTTGGCTCCGTAGTCGCTGTGGAAACTGAAGTGGAGCTTTACTTTGTCTTTCTTTACTATCTCGCTCCCGTTATCTCCCTTCCCGTCGCTTTTTCGAGGATCCTGGATGCCCCGCAATCGCCCGGAGCCCCAAACGTAAATAGACTCTCAAATATTTAAAGGCTTTTCGTCAAGTCGCCAAGCAACGACGTACTTTTCATAATCGCACGCATACGCGGTATCCTTCTTTCCCAATTGTCAGTGACGGTCGTGCGCGAGAGATTCCAACGTGAATTATAGACGTCTTGGGCTGGTACTGATAATTTATACGTATTTACGTAATCACGCGGACACAATGAAAATAACTCGAAGCGACGTAGAAGGAAATGACGGGACTTTTATTTTACATGAAAATTCAATCGCCAAGCATATCTTCTGGGTAATTGCTGTTCTATTGGATGAACTTTTTTATATTGTCCTTGCCATTTCAAAATGGCTTTTGCTTCGGTGGATAGCTGTTTTCTAGGTGTATTGTTTACGTGGTATACCGCATATTTCCTTGGAGCCTCCAGCGACCCAGGGGGATACGATTAATAATTTTCTTGACATTTTTTTTAATTGTCACTAGTTTTTTTAATTCCTTTTCTTTCTTAATCCTCCATTCGTACTACTCCTCAGGGGTTACGCTGCGGATTTATCGTGCGTTAAAATATAAGTAAATATGTTGACTTCGGGCTCTCGTTCTGTTCGCCAGTTTCATATGTGATCGCTCGATATACGTGTCATCTAAATCGTTGACATATACGCATACGTGTAAATCAATTCGGCGACTGATTTACGACAAACACATGGAGCCTTGATTTATTTCTTCGTCAATTTACAATAGTTCTTAATTAATTTAGGATCTTATATTTTGCTGGAAGGCTGTTTTTTTTTCTTTTTTTTTTTTCCATTGCCAAGTCATCGTGACCGACTGACAAATGGGAGAGGTTTTTTTTTTTTACACATCGCTGTTATTCGTAGCGGATTATACGTTGACTAATTGCAATTGACCGTTACCGATACCCTTATTTAATTTATTCGTGGTGAAAATATTTTCGGTCCATAGACAAATGAAGATTAATTAACAGCGAAAGAGATGATATTATTATTTGTACACAAAGTAGTTGAAATTTCTTATAAAGTTTTTTAATTATATCCAAACGTACTTTTAATACTTTATGATAATTGGCAACGTGATATATTTCCGACTAAATGAAAATCGATATGGACGCTCATTTGACTCCTTTTTTAATTAAATGTGCAATTTAATTTTACCGGCCCCACTCGCAACGTTACACTCTACGGATTTACGCCTTTGTACTCGTACGAATTACGCCGTCTCATCCAGTCCCAGTGGAAATGCCTTGGTACACGACTGTCAGTGTAATTTAGACGTTCTCCGGCGATAACACGTAGAGAAACTGTAACAGTAAAAACATATACGAATAACGTTCAGCTGTATAAATACAGGACGTCGTTATATGAAACGTATAAGACGAAACACTTTATAATGGGATATTCTGAGTGTAATTTTTTTAAAAAAATTACTCATGCGACCAAACATTTCGTATTAAATAAATAATAAATAAATACTCCATATGCACAGTGTGCAATGTATCGCTAACATATACGTATACAGTAAAATTAATGCAAAATTAAATATTGACTTGTACCAGCGGAAACGAATTGTTTATCAAATAGATTTTTGCAAAAATATTAATATTTTTGTTCACTTCGAATCGTGAATATCTCAAGATTTTCGTATTATAAGTATTTTACGATAGCTACGCTAAGTGCTCGGAGCTCTTTAATACCTGTTGCCAGTATCAAGCAGTATCGACCACCAGCTACTTAAGGTACAGGCATAGTTGTATTATTTTCTTGAGGCGGCAAATGAATTTGCTGCTATCAAATGCGAAGAAAATGATTCAGGTGGAAATTACTGTATAGCTAATTTTGTTCAATAATAGTCATGAAAAATTATCACGAGAGTGTGTGTCTTTTATGGGAAATCGCGAATTCGACAAAAATATCCATCGATTACCATTCGATTTCGTTGAACAGTTTTAAAGGCGCTTCTGTTCCTTCATCGTTCATTGTCACTCATCATCAAATCGATGATTGATGAAAAGTCATAAAAGGTATAATTATTCGTATAAAAAAAAAATTATATTCAATACCCATCATTACAGGATATTTATCGATCGTGACGTGCACGTAAGATGCAGCGACAAGCAATTTCAAATAAAAATATCCACGTTGCATAACGCCTAAGCGCAATTTTGTTCGGGCAGCCATAATATAAATATATACCAACGTAAATACGTTTATCCAAGCCGTGAACCTGTATTAGCATAAGCTGACACAGAGCGACGTAAACAAAACACAACTGACAACTTTTTGCATCCGCCTTACGGCACTCGTCACGTTATTTCTTCGAGGCGCTCGAAACGTATTCGCTTCTGGTGTCTCGGGAGGAAGGAAGAAAAAAGCAAGCCGTTGCAAATCTAACCATCTTTTTATAACCCCTACGCCAACGCGTCAACGGGAACGTTTCAAGTAAAAAACTTTGGGCCTGGTTTATCTAACTTTCGTAATAAAATTCGAGATTTCCACCACGCTGGGTTCCCTTGGTACATATGCAAGCTCTCGATGGCGAAACGATGATTTACGCACCTCTGTGAAGTTAGCCCATCATTATGCTCATTTCAAAAGAATAGTTGGAGTTCTGATTGCCCGCAGAAGAGTTCTAGAGTTCCTGATGACTTTTAGAAATAGTTCTGTCGATTAAATGTGGAAAATCGCGATTTAAAAAAATGATGGGCTAACTTCACGGCGCCCATCATTTTTGAAAAAATGTACTTTTTTTGGGAGTTCTGAATAGATTAACAATAGTTCTAGAGTTCTCTGTACTTTTTATCAATAGTTCCGGTCATTATCCGCTTGAAAATAAAGTTTGAAAAAATGCGTCAGCCCACCATCTTTTAGAAAATCGAATTTTTTTCAGTGTTCTGGATAGTTCTCAAAGAGTTCTAGAGTTCCCTATAGGTTTTTGGTACAATACATATCCAGATTTCGTCAAAAAATCATTTTGAAATGAGTATTTCAAAAAATCAATCGTATAAAATCCGATACTCCCAAAATACTGGATAGATTAATCAAGTTCAGGTATTTGTTTTGTAGAACTCTTTTAGAACTACCCAGAACTCC